CAAAATATCAAAATAACAGAGAGAGAGAGAGAGAGAGAGAGAGAGAGAGAGAGAGAGAGAGAGAGAATAAATGTGTCTTTTGTTTGGATGTGTCAGCGGGTCCGATTGAATTGCAACAGAAAAACAATTGAATTGTCTGTACTACCAGCAAAAGATAACGGTTTTGTTAAACAATGAATTCTCTTCTGCTCTTGTTATTACTTGATATCTCCCTTGGAAGGGTCGAGACATCCCGCTTCCTAAAGTGTTGAAGCTGCAAGAGTCTGGATTACTTGAGAGAATTTGTGAGGCGTGCTAACAAAATGAGTTACTTCTCGCAATCCGTGAATGGAGATATCAGCCAAAAATCAACACAAGGGTCATATAAGTAGACTCCTAACTCTTAACCAATGCCATTCTCTTCAAGTTTAACATGTCTTTTATCATTTCATACTGATAAATTGTAAAACTTCAATCTAAAAATTTGATGTTTCTATTTCCATCGAGCTAAAATCTGAGAAGTAATTCATTTTGTCAGCACGTTCCATATTTTTAAAAAGATAAAAGTCAATCTGAGTTCACCATTTGGAACTTATTTGACTTACCAAGCACATCTGCGGTCAACACCCTCTGCAGGGCGACATTTGGGTCGTTGTGACAGACAACTTTTAATTATTCTAAGAATGGCAAGCTGAACTTTACATTTACCTTAGATAGTAATAGTTGTAGTATTCATATTGAATGTTTTTCCAAAACGACCAAAGTACCCAGTACACCCAATAATGACAAAAATCCCAATTGAAGAAGCTGCAGAGTTGGGCTACCATAGAACGTACATTTTTTGTCTTGGGGTGGGGGACCGCGTAGTTTTACTATGGGGGAGCAAAGAATACACCTGCCGTGATACTGCGTGTCGTAAGAGGCGACCAAAAGTGCATAGGTCTGATCGCCCGAAAAGTGCCAGTTTGCGGAGGGCCAACTACCCAACCCAGTAAAAAAACCAGTAAGTTACAGAAACACGGACAAACACAGCTTTTTATTTTTCGATCTTCGGAGACGGAGGAGCTTCTGCATCAGCAGGAACAATGAAGAACAGCGGACAAAGCCGAAATCACCGAAATCACAGAAATCGATGTAGAGAAAAGTGGGAAAAAATGGAATAACATCAAGAGGCTAGCCCAGGATAGAGAAAAGTGAAGGGTGTTTGTCCGTGGCCTATACCCTGATGCAGGGTGAGAAAGGCAATGATGGTGATGATGATGATATTTTTGATAAAGTTTTTTTATTTTGTAAATGACATAAACTATTGAAAAGGACAATAACTTTGATCATCTGTGTGTCATATCTACAGGGGGAGGGAACTACGACAATGCAGGTTACAGACCAGCAGGCCCAGAGACTAGCGGTCAGCAGAATGTCCCACTGACCATCAACCAGCTTGCCATAGTTGCCAGTGCTCAAAACAAATTGCCTGTCAGTAAGGTGAGATAGCTGTTTTATGCTGTTTTCAACCCTTTTAGGCCGGTGTTTTACGACGAGTAGTTTGATTTCATTTGCACTCTGGTTTCAGCCTTAATGGGGATAAGGGTTTTTACACACACACACACACACACACATACACACACACGCACACACACACACACACTCACACACACACATACACATAAACACACACATACACACACATGCACACACACACACACACACACACACA